CCTTTCCCCACTACCCAAAGAAGGCTACAATTAAGCATGAATATACATATAGCCACACATAGATATCTATAAACATGCACATAATACACATATACACTCATACACATATATGTTAGATCGCAATATGCTTATTTCCTCCTATCATCTGTATCTCTAAAGGTGTGGATAGCATCTTCCTTCAGAAGTTCAAGTCTTTCCATATTTTTCTAAATCAACCAGCTCATCATTTCCTATACCACAGCTATGTTCCAACCCAGTCACATCCTATGTGAGAAATTGTCTAGAAGAGTTTTCCCCCCATTTTTCTGCATTCCTTCTATTCTTGGATACATAGGTTTTATTTATACAAGAAAATTTTAATTTTTACACTTCAGCAATGCTCTCACCTTTTAATATAGTTTAAGTTCTGATACTGCTGAATCTACTTCCTTTATATCTTTTTCTCTGGTTTCTTTGAAGTTCCTGCCCTTTTGTCTTCCAAATGAACTTTATTATTTTTTTCTGACTCAGTAAATTCTTAATCTCTTATTCTTCTATTACGTCCCTACCATTTTTGTCTTTTATCATGTACATTTTTGCATGAAATGTTCCCTTGATATCTCTAATTTTCTTGAAGAGATCTCTCATCTTTCCCATTGTGTTGTTTTCTTCTATTTCTTTGCATTGCTTATTTATGGAAATCTTATTTCTCCTTTCTGTCCTCTGGAATTCTGCATTCAGTTGGGTCTATCTTTTCCTTTGTGCTTTCCCTTTGGCTTTCCTTCTTTCCTCAGCTATTTGTAAAGCCTCATCAGACAGCCATTTTGCTTTCTTGCTCTTCTTTTTCTTTGGGATGTTTTTTTTTTATTGCTGCTTCCTATACAATATTGTGAACATCTGTACATGGTTTTTTAGGCATTCTGTCTATTAGATCTAATCCCTTAAATCTCTTCATCACTTCCACTTCATATTCATAAGGGATGTTATTTAGGTTGTACCTATATCGTCTAATGGTTTTCCCTACTTTCTTCAATTTGAGTCTAAATTTTGCAATAAGAAGCTCATGATCTGAGCCACAGTCAGCTTCATCCTTCGTACTACTGCCCTAATGATCTTCCCCAAATGCAGGTCTAGCCACACTAGGCTTTTTCCCCTTTCTGCTCCAATACCACCATCTGTAGGATGCCTTACTGCGCTCCCCCCCCCCCGCCCCCGGCACTTGTGCTTTCTGCTCTCAGATTACTTTACTTGTTTTGGTCAATTTTGCATATGTTGTCTTCCCCATGAACATGTAAGCTCCTCGAAGGCAGGAATTGTTTCTCAGCTTCATCCATCACAGTAATAATAATAATAACTAGCATTTATATAGCAATTTAAAGATTACAAAATATTTTTTTCATATATTCTCATTATCTCCTAATAACCCTGTGAGGTAAGTACAGTTACTTTTACACTATTTTACAGGTGAGGAAATTGAGGCCCAGAGAGGCTGGGTGGTCACAGAGGTGGGAATTGGGATTTGAGCCTAGGTCCATGACTCTAGCACTCTTTCTGCTATGTTGGCTCATGGGTTGCAACCATGTTAGGGTCATTCCTTTGCCTATACTCATCGTGAGTACTGCAAGGCAATATGACCAAGTGTTTAATGAGCTGATGTTTCTTGTTGCTTTTAGGTCCTCTGAGGAGGACCTATGAGCTGCTGAGCCAGTTAGCCGCTATAGTGCTTGGAGTGTAGCAGGTGCTTAAATGCTTTTTCATTCATTCATTTACTTTTTGTCTTCTGGTTTCTTTATAGTAGGAATATCATCATGGATTTTACTGTTCAATTCCTCCAATAGCATATGAAGTTGTTAACTATTGCATAATAACCTTACGGGGTACCAAAAGTTAATGTTGATAGGCAATTTAAAAACCATGATTGTTAGCACCTTTTGTCCCCTTCTCAGCCTCTACATACAGAAGAGGGCTGCATAGTACTGAAGGCTCTTGGGTTTATTTCTGTTACCTAGGTCTCTGTGTCTGAAGAATTCATCCTTTAGTGGCCAGGGTGCTTGGCAGTAAGCTTGGAGAGGACCACCATCTCTATGCTTATAACTAAGTGGATCCTTAGATAGCAAACACATTTTGTTGCTGAGACTATACACAAAACCTTTCCAGTTTGCAGTCCACTGTGCCAGCCTTTGAGAATTCAGGCAATGAGAAAAGCATACCAGTGCATACAGCTTTGGTGGAAGAACTTTGTCATCTATCAGACTCATGTAAAAGTTTATCATTGGGTTTTTTTGGTGTGGAGAGCAAGGTTGGGAGGAAGCATAAGGTGCCACCATTGTGAAATATTTCAAGAATGTTAAGCAATAGGTCTTTTTTGCTGCTTTCTCACCTCCCCTTCTTCTGTGGATCTACTTTCTTGTTCTTCTTTTGGCAGATTTAGTTGTGTTGCTTATTAAACCTCTACAAAAGATGTTTTTGCTCTTGCAAAATCTGAGGCAAATTGGAAGTAAACTTTGTTAATTAGAGGGTTGGTAATTAGCTAGTATTTTTATTTTGACTATAATATGTATTATCTTCTTCAGCTCCACTCAATTAGAATAATTCTGCAATTTTAAAGTGGTGTTTACAAAATAAATAGAAAACCTCCTGCAGAAACTTGGTTAAGCACATTTAATTAGGTAGCTTGGAGATGCCTGGGAGTAGCAAAGTCTCTGGAAGGAACTTGCAAAGTTTTTTTTTTTTTTGTAGGAGATAATGAAAAGCTCTTTTTCTTGAGGGGAAATGGCTGTTAGAGAGAGGAGTAAGGGCTGGCTCAGGGTTCTAACATTGTAGTTGGAACCAGGAACACGTCCTCCTTCAGTGCAGGATGTGAAAGGTAGATCTTCTCTGCAACTGAGAGTCTTTGAGTACTGCCTGGGTACTGACAGGGGAAGTGACTTGCTCAGAGGGTCGTGTAACCTGTAGCCTGTATGTATGTGTGGTACATGTGCATGTAAGTATACAGTATATGGACATATGCACTATGTATGTATATGTCTATAGTATACATGCGTGTATGTATGTACTGTATATTTATGTACAGATATATGTATGTGTGTGTCAAAGGTAGGACTTAAAGGTAGGTCTTCTTGGCTCTGAAGACCATTCTCTTTATACTCTAATATGCTGACTCTTGTTGGCAAAAGTTGATAGTTTCATATACAGCCCTCTTTCTGTTTTTATTCATTAAAACATCCATGTTTGTGTTTGTTAATAATAAAAATAAAATTTAAAAATGTGTAGGTTATAAAAAACAATACACTTGCTATTCTAAAACTGGAGAGGCAGCTTGCTAACCTCAGCATTTGGGGGATTGGGCTTCAGGTCCTCTGGTGCACACATGCTTCCCCTCTCAGGACCACGGGCAGTTCTCAAAGACTCAGTTGTAGAGCAGGGAGGGTCCCAACCAGGAGCTCCCCACCCTAATGTAGTCAGAGCTCTGTACCAGTAGACCATATTCACTTGCACATTTCATCTTATACTCATTAACCCCCTTTATAATCTGGGATGAAAATATGAGACAGTGTTTTTCTAGCATACTTCTTCTTCCTTACTGTCAGTATCATTGTAATAATAATAACAATAACAGCTAGCATTTATGTAGTGATTTTAAGGTTTTTGTTGTTCAGTCGTTTTTCAGTCATGTTTGACTCTTTGTGACCCCGCTTGGGGTTTTCTTGGCAGAGATACTGGAGTGTTTTTCTGTTTCCTTCTTCAGCTCATTTTACGGATGAGAAAACTGAGGCAAACAGAGTGAAGTGACTTGCCCAGAGTCACAAAGCTCGTAAGTGTCTGAGGCCAGATTTGAACTCAGGAAGATGAGTCTTCCAGACTCCAGGCCTGGTGATCCATACACTGGGCCACCTAGTGGCCCCTTTCCTTCTTCTATTCCTGCACAGTTGCCTCGTAGATTTAGAGATGGAAGGGACTTCAGTCCAGTCCCCAGAATTTAGATGAAGAAACTGAGGCCTACTTCCTACTTGCTCTGGGCTTACATTTAGAAATGTCAGTTCCCCAGCCACCCTGGGGTGACTCAGATTAAGGAGGACTGTTGTAAAAGCACAACAGAGGAGTTTACCTTTGATGTGATAGAATATTTCGGTGGATAGAATATGGCATTTGGAGTCAGGAGACTGGGATTTGAAACCTGACTGCTCTTTACTAACTGTGTCACCTTAGACAGGTCACTTTGCCCCATGGGCCTCAGTTTTTTCCTCTTTAAAATGAAGAGGATTGGACTAGATGATCACTAATAACCCTTCCAACTCTAAATCTGTTTTCCAGGAGGGGAATGCTATGTTTAAAGTAGTGACTAGGAGAAAAAAGAATATAAATGAAGAGTGTAGCTTGAGAGGCTGTTGAAATCCATCAGAGTTGAGAGGATGAAAGTCTGAATTAGGATGGCAGCAGTAAGAGTGGAGATTAAAGGGTAGATCTTGGAGATATTTGGAAGGAAGTTTACCCCATTTCATTCTATTCGGAGTCCTTCTCTTTATTCAGGGATGCTGGCTATTCAGATAGCACCAAAGCAGATATCTCTTCCTTGACTCACCTTCATTTCTCATATTTCCCATGACACTTGGCCTGGCCCTTCCCTTTGCACTTTTTTCTTTGTCTCCTTTACCATAGTTATTTATATAATTGTCCTTTTCCCTATTCGACTGTGAAAGCAGGTTCTGTCATATCCATACATTTTTTATTCCTATTATCTAGCACAGTGCCATGCACATAATAAGCATTTAACACAAGTAAGAAAATTGAATATATTTGAATATATATTATGTGTATATATATATATTTTACTTATGTCACACTCATTGGAACATAATACTCATATCAGATCCAAAATGTCAATAACAATACCTCCATGAATGTGTTTTGGGAGGATATGTTTCTTTTTTGTCTTCTCGGTCACAGTAGATAGTGTTTTATTCTGTTGTATCTTATGTTTCATGTGTATCTATGAATAACTTTGAACATTCTAATTCTAGGTGACTCATTATATATGCTGTTGATTACCATAGCTATAGGTTTGCTTCTAACACTCAAATAAAGACAAACTTTCATTTTCAGATCTTTCAAGAAATCGATTTACAGAGATTCCTTCTGATGTCTGGTTATTTGCACCTCTCGAGACCCTAAATTTATACCATAATTGCATCAAAGCCATTCCTGAAACCATAAAAAACCTGCAGATGTTAACATACCTTAATATTAGGTAAGCACACCTTTTTTTCCATAGTTCTTGGTGTTAACTCAGATTGTTATCCATTCTACTAGTTGGGGAATGTTTGGTTCCAGTTGACACAGGACTTTGCTTATGTTCTGTGTGTTTTGTCTGGTTTCCCTTATTGATGATGATGTAAGAAGGGTTGAGGTGGGAATTAGAGGGTGGTAATTTGGCAAAACTCTAGTGGGTTGATCTTGAACCTATCAAAGCAAATGAATAGTATTGCTGCCATTCCCTTGAAATGGTTTAATATGAGTTACCTCTTCGAATTTATTTCTTGCTGGGTTCGTTTGAATGGGAGATAATAATTTTTCTTCTAATTATTACATGTACTTAGCTGGAATTCAGGCAACATAATCAATAACATTTTTCTTTTTGGTGTGATCTGTCAGTTTTTATACTCAAGTTCTCATTCAAAAGTACTTTTGAATAAATTATCCATTGCCATGTTTTTGAACAACAAAGTAATGCACACAAAAGCAAAAAGAGGTAAATGAAGCAGCTAATAGTTGGGTTTGGTGCATGAACCTCTTATTGCATACTTAGTCCAAAATGGAGGAACCTTAGAGTTTTGGTCTCTAATCCTCATTATCATCTTTGTTTAAGTCTCCTTTTCCATTCCACGTGTTGGAAATTCCACATGGAATAACTTATACATTATGTTGGGCAAGAACTTCTTAGAGGATCTTTATTTTTTTAAATTTAAAGTATTAATAAAGTTTCTACTTTGGATCTAAGATTTATTTAAGTAAAGGGAAGCTGATGGTGAAAGCTTTGTGGCTATAAGATGGGATCTTTATACAATATGGATTGGCAGGACTTGGGAATTTTTTCCTGTTTTTTTTTTTTTTTTTGAGTAAAAGATAGTATCAAGTAGAAGTTTCCACACCTGAGCAGTAGTAGTTTGGACATATTAGATGGTCACATTTTATGTTGGGAAATTTAGTTTACGTTGTCCATGGGCCCCATGATATAAATACTCTTGGACCTTAGGTTCAAATTGTAGGGACTTTTATGACTTGCTCAAGATCACATAGCGAGGAAGTGTGGGAGACGGGATTTGAACCCAGGTCCTTGGAGTATAAATCTACTATTCATTGGATAGCATTGAGGTAATTAAATATTGACTATATCCTAAAACAAATAGTAAAGTACCTGGGATATGAAATGAAGTCCCTACAAACTCCCTCCATCAATAAAGAAGGCAGGTACAAGATCTTCCTGGAGCTGAACAGGGGAGCGGTGGAGAACTTTACCTGCTCAGCACATATATCTTTGTTGGGTATCTTACTGCCTTGCTCTGTGGGGTGCTAGGAACAATCTGGGACCCTTTTGGTTTGTGAATCTTAACACTGTAGTCTTGGATGTCCCTTGAGTCTCTTTACGTGGTCACAAACCCCAATTGAAAACCCCTCTTAAAAATCCTATTTCCTTCCCAGCAGTTTCCTTGATGTACTTTTCAAACGTGCTGTTGACACCCATCTGTCAGTAATTTGAAGAATAAGAGTTTTTCAGATAAGATAGAAACTGGACCTGTGAGTTCTTCATGGTACAGAGCTACCTTTGCCAAGGCAGTTTGATGCCTTTGCTGCAATTTATAGTCCTAAAGAGTTTCATAGTGTAGAAGTGTTGAACTCATGGGCCCCCAAAGTCTAGGGGAACCAGATTAAAATATAATGAGAGGGGCAGCTAGGTGGTGCAGTGGATAGAGCACTGGCCTTGAAGTCAGGAGGACCTGAGTTCAAATCCGATCTCAGACCAGACACTTGACACTTACTAGCTGTGTGACCCTGGGCAAGTCACTTAACCCCAATTGCCTAAAAATTAAAAAAAAATAAAAAAATTAAAATATAGTGGGAAATGTTTAGCAAAATAAATAAAATTACAATAAAATGTAGATAGTGTTAATTTGTGGTTTTGTAAGTCACTTTGTGGCCAGCAGAGATCCAATTCTATTTGAGTTTGCCACTCCTGTCGTAGAGCACTGAGAGTGAGGCAGTATTTGAATCTAGATCTTTCTGGCTCTTTTCAGTGTTGCCACTACACCACAATTTGTGAAACTCAGATATATTTGGTTCTTTTTTCCCATTTCACACTGTTTACTTTTTTTGGAAAAACTATGTAATAAAAACTACACATTGTTTTCAAAGCTACCCTGCTTTTCTGTGCTTCCTTCTCAGTTTTCTTTAGTTCTCTACTGGGCACTTTTTATTTTTTTCTCCCCTCCTCCCCACCATGCCCTAGAGAAAGCTACCTTTGGACACACACACACACACACACACACACACACACACACACACACACACACGCACACACGCGCGCGCACGCGTACGTAAAACCATACTATACATACTTCTATTTACCAGTTCTTTCTCTGGAGGTAGATAGCATCTTTCTTCATAGGTCCTTTACAGTTGATTTGAATATTTATAATACTCAAAATGACTTAGTTGTTAAAAGTTGTTCTTAGAACAATATTGCTGTTACTGTGTACAATGTTCTCTTGGTTCTGCTCATTTCACTCTTCGTTATTTCATGCAAACCTTTCCATGTTTTTCTAAAATCAGCCAGCTCATCATTTCGTACAGCACAATAGTATCCTATCACAATCATATACCACAACTTGTTCAGCCATTCCCCAGTGGATGGGCATCCCCTCAATTTCTAGTTCTTTGCCACCACAAAGAGAGCTGCTAAAAATATTTTAGAACATAGAGGTTCTTTTCCATTTTCCCTAATTACCTTGGGAAACAGACCTAATAGTGGTATTGCTGGGTCAGAGGGAATACACAATTTTATAACTCTTTGGGTGTAATTCCAAATTGCTCTCCAAAATGGTTGGATCAGTTCACAGATCCACCAACAGTGAATTAGTGTCCCAGTTTTTTCCACATCTCCTCCAATGTTCGTAATTTTCCCATTCTATCATTTAGTTAATCTGATAGATGTGAGATGATATCTCAACATTGTTTTAATTTGCATTTTGCTAATCAATAGTAATTTAGAGCATTTTTTCATATGACTCTATATAGTTTTGATTTCTTCATTGAAAAACTGCCTGTTTATATCCTTTGACCATTTATCAATTGGGGAGTGATTCATATTCTTATAAATTTGACAAAGCTCTTTGTATATTTGAGATATGAGACCTTTATCTGAGAAACCGTTTATAAAATTTTTCTCCCAATTTTCTGCTTTCCTTCTAATCTTGGCTATATTGGTTTTATTTTTACAAAATCTTTTTTTATTTAACGTAATAAAAATTATCCATTTTATACCTCACAATGTTCTCTCTCTCTTGTTTATTCATAAATTGTTCTCCTAGCCATAAATCTGATAGGTAACATGTTCTATGTTCTTCTAATTTTATTATACCTGCCTTTATATGTAGGTCGTGTATTCATTTTGACCTTATCTTGGTAAATGGTGTAGGCCCAGTTTCTGCCAGACTTTCTAGCTTTCCCAACAATTTTTTTTTTTACCAAATAATGAATTCTTATCCCAAAAGTTTAAATCTTTACATTCATCAGACACAGGGTTATTATAATCATTTACTACTGTGTATTGTATGTCTACTTTGTTCCACTGATTTACCTCTCTATTTCTTAGCCAGTAACAGATAGTTTTGATAATTATTACTTTATGGTATAGTATAAGATCTGGTACTACTAAACCTTCTTCCTTTACAATTTTTCATTCATTCCTTTGATATTCTTGACCTTTTGTTATTTTTTCTAGCTCAGTAAAATAATTTTTAGTAATTTAATTGGGATGGCATTGAATAAATAGATTAGTATAGGTAAAATTGTAATTTTTGTTATATTGGCTCTGCCTTCCCATGAACAATTAATATTTCTCCAGTTATTTAAATCTGACTTTATTTGTATAAAAATTTTTTTTTTGTTTGTTTTTGCTTTTTGGTGAGGCAATCGGGGTTAAGTGACTTGCCCAGGGTCACACAGCTAGTAAGTGTCAAGTGTTTGAGGCCAGATTTGAACTCAGGTCCTCCTGACTCCAAGGCCAGAGCTTTATCCACTACACCACCTAGCTGCCCCTTATAAAAATGTTTTATAATTATGTTCATGTAGTTCCTGGGCTTGTTTTGGTAACTATACTCCCAGATATTTTCTGCTGTTTACAGCTATTTTAAATGGGGTATGTCTCATTGCAGGGTTTTGTTGGTGGCATACAGAAATGCTAATGATTTATGTAGGTTTATTTTATATCCTGCCACTCTGCTAAAATTATTGTTTCAACTATCTTTTCAGTTGAATCTCTAGGATTTTACAAATACATCATCATGTCATCTGCAAAAAAGAGAGAGTTTTATTGCCTCATTGCTCATTCTGATTCCTTCAATTTCTTTTTCTTCTCTTGTTGCTATTGCTGGCATTTCTGATATTGTACTTTATCAAAAGCTTTTTCTGCATCTATTGATATAATCATATGATTTTTGTTACTTTTGTTATTGATGTAATCAGTTATGTTAATAGTTTTCCTTATGTTATATCATCCCTGCATTCCTGGTATAAATGCCACTTGGTCATAATGTATAATCTTTGTAATATGTTGTTGTGGTCTCCTACCTGGTATTTTATTTAGGGTTTTTGTATTATGTTTGGTTCTTAAGTTGTCTTATATATACCATTGTAGAAATGAACCAGTTGACTAGTAAGCCTTTTTACCAAATACTTATTCTGGCTCTCTTTTCTTTAGATCTCTAAAACCTGATCCTTGGTTTTCATTTCAGATTTTTGGAAGAAATTATGTTGGAGAATGTCACCTAGTTCTAATGGTTTTTAGCAGTCTCCCATGTATACAGTGAAAAAAGTGGTCAAATATGTTTTCTTTGTTATGTATAGGCAACTTGAGTCTAGTAGAAGAGGTTAACTCTCTTGGATTCCATGATCTGTTTACAAAGAGAAAGGGCACGATAGAGCATTAGAATGGAATATGCTTTGAGTGTTGGCACCCATATCTTACTTATTATGTGACTTAAAGATTTAATCTGTTCATCTTTGTGTAAGTTTTAATATAGCACATGTAGACTTTCAGTAGTCTGAAAAAGTGTAGCATGGAAAGCAATTAATATAGTTAGATCATATCAAAGGAAGATGAGGAAGAGAGAAATAATTATTGCCTTTCCTTCAGTGAAATGGCTAGGAAGAAGAAAGTTAAAGAGAACCCTCTGCTGGGGTTTTTGAGAATTATGAAGGAGAAACAAGCTGGCCAGGCTGCATGAAGACTGCTGAAGATGCTGAGTATGTTGCCTTATGCAGGCCAAGCTAGGGCCTTCAATGAGACCCAGAGCAGGCTGGCAAGCTAGGAGTAAAGGAGAGCAGACACCAACAGGGGCGGTTTCCAAACAGTGACACCCAGATTGTCTGCATTGAAAGCTTCAGACTTCTCACCCCTTACCTGCCATGCTGGTTGCAGAGAGAAAAGAACATGGCTCTATCAAAGCCAAGTCTTTTGGATGAATTCATTTCTCAGGCTGCTCTTCATGGGTGTAGAGAGTGAATAGATACCGTCTGCATTGGGGCAGGTGTACCGATACTGCTTTTGTTGCCTTATTCATTTTTGTCCTGATTAACTGTCTTATGTAAAAAAAGGTACTAGATTAGTGGTGATACCTAGCTTGGGAGATTCAGTAGATGGGTTCATCTCCTTTGTCAAAATTATGCTATTGACTTTTAAAGTGAAATGCTTTTCCTTGACAACACCATGTGTCACGTTTCAGAGACATTGCTGATGGTTTTTCTGATTTTTTTTCAGTCGAAATCTTTTATCAACGCTGCCAAAATATCTGTTTGATCTCCCGCTTAAAGTTTTGGTTGTCAGTAATAATAAACTGGTATCCATTCCCGAAGAAATAGGGAAATTAAAAGACTTGATGGAATTGGTGAGTAAATAATTATTAACTTTATTTCATATAAACAATGTATTTCTATCAATTATATAGCTAGCCCTTGTTATGGAGTATACAGGATTTCACTACAATGCAATTTTAAACAAAATTGCATTGATATAGGATACTCTTTTGTTTATTTTAATGACATTTTAATTTTCACTTTTCCTTGTATCTAATAAACACCAAACTAGGAAGAAGCCTGGTTATGTCACTCTCCTCTAATACCACAAACTAACTTTTAAGGTGAGAAGGGGTATAAAAAGACTTATAATGCTGTCATGTGTTTGAAAGACAGTCTTCAAGCCCATAAACGTTTTTCCCGTTTTATAAACAAAGGACATAGACAAGGGACAAGAGGGTTAAGTAAGGTTTTGCTTGACAGCTATGAGCAAAGTAAGAATGGGAAGGGGATAATGGAGACAACAAGAGGCCTGTAGATAGGAGGAAGAGCAAAGCTTCCTTTTGCTCACATGGTTTTTACTATATTTTGAGGTCAGAAATGTTTACAAAGAAGCTACGAGATATAACAGTAAGTTAAAACAATTGCCTGGGGTTATAAAATTGAAAATGTTAAGGCGGCTTGGAGGGATGAAAAAAATCAAGTCACAAATGCATTAGGATCATGAGATCAAAGGATTTAGGGCAGGAGGGACCTATGAGGTCATCTAGGCCAACCCCCTCAATCCCAGGGAGATTGTGACTTGTCTGAGGTCCTCTCACTACAAATCTAGTACTGCTCAACAGCTTCCTCTGTCTATGTCTTTCTGTATCACAACCTCACATAACAATCATCACAATAGGTGTCATTTTTACTTTTTATTTTGAATATTAATCATAAAATTTTCATTTTTCATTAAATATATGCCCCACAAGATCTTGTTCCATTACTTCATCATGGTATGGCCATGACTTTGAGTTTTTGAAAGTTTTACTTACGGAGCACAAGCTGTGGCAAGTTCTCCTCTTTTGAAAAGACTTGGAGCGTGGTCCTGGCGATGGACTGAGGCTGATTTCTGAGGCTCAGCCCAAGTACGAGAGACTCAGCAGTGTGCTGACTATGGAAGGCCATAAAGCAAAGCAAAGTAGAGTTTCCTTCAGGCCAGTGTATTCCCCTTCTGTTTCTGTAGTGATGGGGGCAGAATGGCAGAGAACATGTGCAAGGGTGTTAGGAATCTTATTTTTATACCATCTGTTGGAACTTGAACTTAGCTGTTGTTACTCTAAACGTGAGTTTATCATGTTTTTATCATTGTCATACAGTGACCGAAGAGTGGACATACAAGAGGAACTGAGTTATATCATTCGTAACATTCTTTCAATGAACAAAACTAGAAAAAGGAAAGTAATTGTAGCTGATTGGAAAGGTGGCTCACAGGTTCATCCTTGGAGAAGCAAAGAAAGGAAGTGGTAGACTTGGTTTTGTTGTGCACCTAAAGGCAACAGGGAAGCATTATATTGTAGGAAATGTGATCGTCTCATATTGTGGTGTTCGTGATAATAAGTATTTACAAAAAGACTGCCTTGAAAATAATTTCAGCTTATGCACCAAAATCTCCACCAAAGGATGATGAGATGGAGAAATTCTGTGAAGAATTTGATAAGACTCTCCAAATTAAATTAACATACCCTTTGATACTTGGCGACTTGGGTGAATACAAAGGTGAGACTAGGTGAGGGCGGGGAGATATAGCATGAGTTGGTCAGAGCATGTGCAAAGCTGCCCTTGGGGCTTCCAGGCGACTCACAAGTACCTAACTGGCCAGTGCTGAGAGGGCTTGGCACCTCAGGGACAATGATGACGAAGTAATCCCCTGTTGACTGCTGAGTCTGAGGAGCCCGTGACTCAGTGGACCTTTGAAAAGGAAGTGACTCTCCCTGGCTCGCTTCTCTTTGATCTTTCCACTGCGGGGCTGTTTGTGGGGCTATTTTGAGCTGCTTTCCCTAACATGTAGTGATTCCAAACCCCTGGCTGCCAATGCTCAACCCCCTTCTCTGTCCCCCACTAATTGCTCCCTTATTCCTATCCCTCTCAACCCCCTCCCCCCAAAATTGAAAATATTTTATAAATTTCCTAATAAGGAGTGAGCATGGAGGGACAAGGAAGTGGGGAACTTATCCGTAATTGTGCCAGTTCAACAAGAGGCTGAAAAAGGACCTTAATAGCCAGTCTATCAGTTTATGAGCTTTTGCGTCCTTGTATCCTGCAGGGTTTGGAGCAGTATCAGTCAAACAGATGGGGAAAATCTTTACAGCAAGTTTCTCTGATAGAAGTCTCATATGTAAAGTGTTTGAGGAACTGATTCAAATTTATGAAACTAAGAGCTTTCCCTAATAGATAAATGATCAAAGAATATGAATAGGAAGGGTTTTTTTTTGTTTTTTGTTTTCTTTTTTTAAAATTAATTTATTTTTAGTTTTCAACATTCACTTCCATAAGCTTTTGAGTTTTACATTTTCTCCTCCTCCCTCCCCTCTCCCCAAGATGGTGTGCAATCTGATATAGGCTCTACATATACGTTCCTGTTAAACATGTTTTCACATTAGTCATGTTGTAAAGAAGAATTAGAACCGATAGGAGGAACCATGAGAAAGAAGAAACAAAACAAGAAAAAAAAGAGCAAATAGTGTGCTTCTATCTGCATTCAGACTCCATAGTTCTTTCTCTGAATGTGGACAGCATTTTCCAGCATGAGACTTTTGGAGATGTTTTAGATCCTTGCATTACTGAGAACAGCTAAGTCTATCAAAGTTAGTCATCACACAGCGTAGCTGTTGCTGTGTACAATGTTCTCCTGGTTCTGCTCACTTCACTCAGCATCAGTCCATATAAGTCTTTCCAGGTTTTTCTGAAGTCAGCCTGTTCATCATTTCTTATAGCACAATAGTATTCCATTACATTCATATACCACAACTTGTTCAGCCATTCCCCAATGGATGGGCATTCCCTCAATTTCCAGTTCTTTGCCATCACAGAAAGAGCTGCTATAAATATTTTTGTATGTGTGGATCTTTCCCCCATTTTTATTTTTATGATCTCTTTGGGATACAGCCCTAGAAGTGGTATTGCTGGGTCAAAGGGTATGCTGTCCAGAATGGTTGGATCAGTTCACAACTCCACCAACAATGCATTAGTGTTCCAGTTTTCCCACATCTTCTCCAGCATTTATAATTTGTTTTCTTTTATTTAAGAATGCTTTTGTTTTATTTTTTTCTCAATTACATGTAAAAACAATTTTAACATTCATTTTTAAATAATTTTTGAATTCCAAATTGCCTCCCTTCTTCCCTTTCCCTCTCCTTTAGAAGGCAAGCACTTTAATATAGATTATACATGTGCAGAAATGCAAAACGTTTTCATATTACCCATGTTGCAAAAGAGAATGCAGACCCCCCCAAAACCCAAGAAAAATAAAGAAAGTAAAAAAGTATGCTTTCATCAGCATTCAGACTCCATCAGTTCTTTCTCTGGAGGTGGATAGCATTTTTCATCATGAGTCCTTTGGAATTGTCCTGTATCATTGTGTTTCTGCGAAGAGCTAAGTAATTCATAGCTGATTATTATACATTATTGTTGTCACTGTGTACAGTGTTCTTCTGGTTCTGCTCAATTCATTTTACATGACTTCATATAAGTCTTCCCAGGTTTTTCTGAAAGTATCCTGCTTATCGTTTCTTATTGCACAATAGTATTCCAGCACGATCATATACCACGACTTATTCAGCTGTTCCCCAGTTCATGTGCATTCCTTAAATTTCCAGTTCTTTGTTACCACAAAAAGAGCTGCTATAAATATTTTTGTACATATAGGTCCTTTTCCTGTTTCTTTGATGTCTTTGGGATACAGACCTGGGGATTAGTGTCCCCTTTTTTTCTACATCCTCTCTAACATTTGTCGTTTTCGTTTTCTGTCACATTAGCCAATCTGATAGGTATGAGGTGGCAACTCAGAGTTGTTTTATTTATTTATTTTTTTAGTCAATTAGTTATATCTGACTCTTTGTTACCCTGTTTGGATACTGTAGTGATTTGGCTTTTCCTTCTCCAGCTCATTTGACAGATAAAGAAACTGAGGCAAACAGGGTTAAGGGACTTGCCCAGGGTCACCCAAATAGTGTCTGAGGCTAGCTATGAACTCTGATTCCCATGACTCTAGGGTCTGCACTCTATCCACTGCGCCACCTCGCCGCCTCTGTTTTAATTTGCATTTCTCTAGTAAGTAGTGATTTAGAACATTTTTTTCATTTGACTGCAAATAGCTTTCATTTTTTCCTTCTGAAAACTGAAATAGGTAGTTTTTAAAGGGGAGAAAATTCTAAACTAATAAAACCACATATGAAAAAATACTCTAGACACTAATAATTAGAAAAATTCAAAGTAAAACAAGTGAGGTTTCACCTTACACACTTTTCACACTGGCAAAGATGAGAAAACAATTTGAAAATGGAATATGTTGAGGGAACTGCAGGAAAAATGGCACACTTGTACACTGTTGGTGGATCTGTGGATTGGTGCAGCCATTCTGGAGAGCAGTTTGGAACTCTGCTCAGAAAGTTAACAAACTTTGCATACCCTTTGACCCAGCAATACCGTTACTAGGCCTGTACCCTATAGAGAAAGAAGAAGATGACCTACATCATGTCCAAAAACATAGCAGCTCTTTTCATGGTGGTCAAAAATTGGAAATTGGAAATTATGGGAGTGTCCTCTTTGGAAATAGCTAGTACATGAATGCAATGGAATATCATTTTGCTATAACAAATGGTGAAATGAACAATTTTACGTGAAATGGAATACCTCTATGAATTGATGTAGAGCAAAGTAAGCAGGAATAGGAGAACAATCTTTGCAGTTATAACAGCGTAAGACTTTAGAACTCCAGTCAATGTAATGATAAACCAGGAGTCCAGAGGACTGACTGAGGATGAAACATGCCACTCACCTTCTGCCAGGGATGTGAGGAACTGAAAATGCTGAGGTGGCCATATATTTT